GAAATCTCATGTTTGTAAACTATGTAGGAAAGCTTTTGTGCAATCAAGTTCCTTACAAACATATGAACAAATTCATACAGACATTAATGCCTGTGAATGCAAGCTATGTGGGAAAACCTTTACTAATCATGCTTATCTTTATTACCATTTGAAGATTCAGTGCAGAAAAGCCCTATATAAGTTATGTAGGAAAGCCTTCATTACTCACAGTTCTCTTCAAAGCCATGAAAGAATTCACAGTGGAGACAAACCCTGTGTATGTAAGCTATGTGGTAAATCCTTCACTTATAACAGTTCCTTTCAATAGTATAGAAAGATTCACAATGAACAGAAACCCTGTGTATATAAGGTGTATGGAAAAGCCTTCACTAGTCACAGTTCCCTTCTATTCCATGAAAAGTCTCACAGTAGAAGATATGTAATAAAGACTTCACAAATCACTTGCAATGCCAAGGAAACATTCACAGTGGAAAGAAACCATATGTATGTAAGCTATGTGGGCAATCCTTCACCCCTCTCAGTTCCTTTCAAAACCATGAAAGCGAGAGCCGGGCGGTGGTGGCGCACGCCTTTAATCCCAGCACTCGGGAGGCAGAGCCAGGTGGATCTCTGTGAGTTCGAGGCCAGCCTGGGCTACCAAGTGAGTCCCAGGAAAGGCGCAAAGCTACACAGAGAAACCCTGTCTCGAAAAACCAAAAAAAAAACAAAAAACATGAAAGCATTTACAGTGGAGAGAAACCTTATAAATGTAAGCAAAGTGAGAAAGACTTTTCTGCTTTATGTAATGTTTGGACACATGAATGACTTCATACTGGAGAGAAACCCCATGTATGTAAGCAATGTGGTAAAGCCTTCAGGTATCACACTTTCTTTTGACACCATGAAGGGTTTCATAGTGGATAGCAACCCTGTGTATGTTGGTAGTATGAGAAAGCCTTTCTTTACCATAGTACCCTTCAATGCCATAAATGGACTCTGGTAGAAAGAAACCATACATATAAGTAATACAAGAAAGCATTCACATTTTCCAGTTCCATTTGACATTATAAAGCACTTGGAACCTATGCATGAAAACTTGGAGTCAAAGAATTCATGCTTTGGAGTACCTTAAAATACTAAGCAAATTCAGTATGCAGTGAAAAACCTCTAAAATGCAAACTCTGGGGAAGTCCTGTTTTCTTAAGTAAAAATTTGAATACATGGACTCCACACTGGAAAGAAACCATGACTAACTAAGCAACATGAGAAAGCCTTCATATGTTCTTGTTCCTGTTCAAAATATAAAATCAGAAAATCCCTAATATAGAATGTGGGGAGGCCCCATTATCACAAGATTTTTCTAGGAAATATCAACAGTTCAAATGAAAAAAATTCATATCAACATAAACATGTGGGACACACCTCTTGTCATCTCAGTTTAATTAAAAAAATATAGAACCCACCATGCTAAAAAAGATTATTTTGAAGATATATGTAAGTCTTTAGTTGGCCATGTGTACACCTGAATCAAATCATGTAAATGTGAAATATAAAACAAAAATTTTACTTGTAACAAATAGATTGGTAGGTGTAAGAAAATTGTCCATAGTGGAATTCTACTAAAACAATGGTATCAAGTGTGGCCTGATGCTAAGTAATTTATAAACTGCTCTGAAAATTACACAATGTTAAAGGAAGCACTGTAAAGATTGTAAATATAATGTGCTTATCAGTGACCTGCTCCTAAAGTAGATCTCTGAACTACTATTTCTGATTTCAGTCTATGTATTTCTAATTTCAAAATTGAAAATAAATGTAAGCCTTTGAAATGGCTCAGTGGTAAAAGCACTTGTTGTACAAGTCTGATGGCCTGAGTTCAATCCCCAGAAAGATCAAAAACTTAAACTAATTCCACAAAGCTGTCCTGTAATCTCCATGTGCACACCATGGAATATACATACACACTCACACATGATAGTAAAAATTAATGCAAACAATATTAGGTCCAGCCTATATTGCTTGCTCCCAGGGTCCGCGGAAGAGTCTACCAACCAGCTGAGGATTCTAATCTGAGGGATATTCAATGAATCTAAGCACACTGAGTTCTTTAGTCCATTCGCTTTATTCTTCTATGACGATTCCATCTGCACAGTTTCTTTTCTGCTCTCTTACTTAGCTCCTCTCTGTCCCTCCTGCTCTCAGTCCCTTCTGCTGTTCTCTCTTCATTCTGCCTAGTTCTTTCCATCTCTGTCCTCATCTTAGTTCATCTCCATCAATCCTCTTCTCTCAGTGCTCTCAGAGAACAAGTATACATACCCACACAGTAATTCTTTGGTAAAGCAATGTGAGTGAGGCTTCAAGTTTTCAGGGTCTCAGAGAGGGGTGATAAGGACCCACACATAAAGCAATTAATTGTCAGCTTCCAATCACAACCCAAAAGGGGAGTGACTAAAGAGGAGTTCTCTGGTAGGGTCAACTAAAGGCTAAGATCATTAGGGAATTTATGTGCTCAAACTATAGTCTAGAAATGGCTAGGTAAAATGTTAGGGGTCAGTAAGTCACAAGAAAGTCAACTGTCTTTGGCACCGCTTTTCCTGCTCGTCCCAGCTGCAGCTGCTCTCTGATAGGGAGGGGGACATATGTTAGGTGGCTAAGCAACCTATGTCAGAGCATGTAGTATTTGGTTAGTAAAAGCACTTTCACTCAGAGTAATTGCTGAGGAGAAAATTTAGGATAGCACCTGTCTGAGGAGGAATAAAAACTTAATTTGCACAAGAAAGAAATTTGGCACCTATTGGGGAAAATTATAAAGGCCACTCCACGTAGTTAAAAGGAAGATTTATTTAGTGAATGACTTACAAATGAAGGAATGGATAGGTTGCGGGGGTCTGGGAAGGTGTATCGCAATCCAGCGGTGTTCTCTGGAGCTCTGCACAGTCAATCTCCACCGTCCAGGGTCCAGGCGCAGAGCCCGCACCCAGAGAGAGCGCTTGCCCATCCAGCTCTCGGGTTTCCAGCACCTCCCCTCGCCCTGCCTCATAGGCGTGACAGTTGCCAGAGTCTCAATGGGGGTTGGAACTTCCAGATCCAAGCTGGAATGGCTACCCACTACAGGCACCTATTGCCTGCCTGGCCTGAAGGCAATCTCCTTGGGTCAGTGGGAAGTAACTGCCTTAATTCAGTATCTAGCAAGTGGCTAAAACATCATCTCAGGAATGTGAGCAGTAAATCTCTTAAATTTTAAATTAGGGTCTTATGAAAATAACCCCGGGTGAAGGTAAGGGGTTGAGGATTTAATTGTTAGTGGTTCTTTTCTCTATCTGTGAGTGAGATGAGCTAATGTTTATCTATGTGCAGTTTTATCTATGTGCAGATATCTTGGAAAAAGATATCTTTGCTGAAATACTTTTGTCTGGAGAATGGCCCTGGCCAGATTTATGTTAATGAAAAATAAACACAGCTGGGGACAGTTGTCCAGTTACCCCAGATGTATAGGAAAAGCTGTGCCCAAGATTGAGATGCAATCGTGAGATTACATGTACACATAACATGGAGATGCACGGTAAATGGGGAGAATCATGGCTGTTATTGCACAAGAAGTTTACAACAAGAGACAGCCAGTTCATTCAAAAGGCAGTAATTCCATAACGCCTGGGTGATGGTTTCCTCTAACAGAACCCTTAGTTCTGGTAGGTTGGCCTTCTGAACACTAATTGCCACTGCTGTATGCTCCATGGACTTTCACTACCAGTGGCTCTTAATAAAAAATTAAAGAAAGAGGGCTGCAGAAAAGCATTTCTGCCAGGTTTGAGGAATAACAATTCACCAATATCAATAGTGAGTGCAGTAGGCAGTAATTTTAAATCAAGTTATATCATAAACATTTGGTTTTTTGCTTTTATTTTAAGCCATGTTAAATTCATTAGGGAATGAGGTGGTTTTCTAAGATGTCAATAGAATTAGTTTTTATAGTTTTAAAATTGTGGTTAATGGTATTAGATATATTGGGCTCACTTTGATAACACATATACTAAAATTTGAACTAGCAAAAGATATGGTCCCTGTGTGAGGATGAAATTGAAATTCATGAAGCTTTCCA